ATGCTTCTACAGATATTTTTGGGGTTGTGTGGCTAAAGTCATCCCTTGACTCTTAGATAAAAGGATGACTGTAGCTAGGTTAGCTCATTCCAGGGAAGCGTACAACTGGGTCACCAGACTAAGCTGGAAAAAAGCATTCTTGGCCTCTTCTGAATGGGGCATTCTTCCCTTCGTGGAACACGGGAAACCCCTGATTTTAATAGGAGCACCCACATACCACACTCATAGTGTTCTACATCTTATAAGACAGCCAGCATACTGTAGTAGTTAATGTCAAACTAGGATATGGGAGACCTAGTTCAAATCCCCACTCTGCCATGGAAGCTTACAGGGTGACCTTGCACCAGTCACACACAGGGTTATTGTGAGGATAAAATGGAGAAGAGAGCAATGTAAGCTACTTTGGGTCCCCACTGGAGAGAAAGGTTGGGGTACACACAAAGTTTATGTGTTTGTGTGTGTACATAAACCCTTGTTAAAGCAGATGACCTTGCCAAGCTGATCTATGCTTCTGCAACTTTCAGGCTTCCTGACAGGGCTCTCTTTGAAGTCAAACAGAAAACTTCAGATGGCGCAGAATACAGCAGCCCATATGTTATTTGGTCACAGGATGCCATGCTTATATTCAACATATCTTGTGCCAGCTGCAGTCGCTGATTCAAGGTACCCATTTTTCATTTTAAAGCTCTTCAAGATCAGATAACACATATATCTGAAGGACTACCTCTGTTCACATAAAGCCCATATGAGATCACCTCAACAAGTTTTACTGGTGCAGCTCTCACACCCTCAAATGTAGGCAGTAGGGATAAGATCTACTCCTTTTTCAGTTGCAGCTTCTACTGTCTGGATTTTTTCCTAAAGGAAACACAGACTAAATTGCTTTTAAGTTTCAGCAGAGGACTGGCCTTTTGCAGAGAGATGTATACATATATATTACTGAGTGGTGGTGTTTAATTGGGTATCTGATGTTTAGACGATTTTCGTAGTTTTATTGTATATTTTAATTCACTTGTAATATGCTTTGCATGTAGAACACAATGACACTAACTTTTTTTTAAATGACATGAAAGAGTGGAATAATGTCTTCCATCTACCTGAACTAACAATATCGTACTGCAGAGAAGTATACTCAATCAAACTGCAGCACCATATTATACAAGCAGGGATTTCTGCATCTTCCCTGAATCCTTGCTCTCAAAACCTGTCTTTGTCAGCTAGATTTTTTCACGCAGACCTCCTCAGTATTTCTCACCTTCCTTTGGCTTTCTTCTCCATCACACTGATAAAATTAAGTGTTCTGTTTTCCACTGCAGTCCAATGCCATCTATGTAGTCTCTCATAAAGTGACAGATGAAAACACCTTTAGCCAAAACAAAATAATTCTCATATCAAAATCCACCAAACATATGATGGGAAACACCTTTCTATGAACTGTGACATAAAAAACTGACACAACAGCTGCAGACACAACAGAGGTAGAGCACCAGTGCTCGGATGTCCCAGCGCAAGGCGTCAAGCTACATAATCCACTTTTCAAATTTATTATTTTCTTTAGGAGCATCTTTATCACCTTCTACAGCTGAATAATTGGTCATACAAATAAGTCTAACCTACATTTGTATTTATTCTCCTACATCTTTCACCTAGTCTATAATAGTTTTAACATTAACTATTTGATTTAACTAGTTTTATTTCCCCCCTACCTATCCCCATTACATACTTCCTGCTAATAAAATAAGGCTGTGATTATCCTACATTCCCTTACAACAAATACTACCTCTACAAAAAGGCACTACCAAACGATTTTTTTGGTCACAACAAGGTTCACAATTACTCTGAAATTTCAAAGGAACCACTTACACCAGGATGCTCAAGCTACTGATAGGTCCCACCTGCCACCTCAGTTTAGGCAATTCAAAGCAGCTTCAGAGCATTACAGTGTTTCAATGTATCTGAAGAAGTGTGGATGCACACAAAAGCTTATACCCAGAATTAAACTTTGCTGGTCTTAAAGGTGCCACTGGACTCAAACTGTGTTCTGTCGCTTCAGACCAACACCTACCCACCTGAATCTAAGAACAAACTACCTCACCTATCTGTTCCAGGCGACCCGGCCGCCCACAAACTTCTCAACAGTATTCTTCCATATTCAGACATGAGGAACAACCTATTTGCTGTGCTCGCTGCACCCCACCACCACCGCGGAACAAAAGCTCCCTGGCTCAGGAGCCCCTTAACTCCACCTCCTATTTACCGAGGCTGGGCCTGTTTGACCCACCCTACACTCTAAAGGAGGTGCTGGGTATCCGCGTACCCCAGACTTCTCCTTGCCCACAAGCCTCACCTTTAAATCGGGTCTCCACCGCGCATCACACGGGCATCGAACCCGAAAGGGCACCCCCCCCCCCAAATCTTCCCCTAAAGTGGACCCCAGAAACCAGCTCAGGCGGCTGCACCTTGGCTTTGGGGGACTGGGGTGGGGGGAAAGAATGGCAGCATGTTTACCCCACACATTTATAAGACGCCACCCCGAGCTGCCGCAACGCTGCAAAAAAGGACGGGAGGGTCTCCTCTACCCTCACCCAGAGACCGCTCTTGCACTTGCCTGTTATCCCCCCCGGCCGGCCGTAGCTGTTAGACGGCACCGCTCACGTAAACCCCCCAAAGCAGCCTTTCCCGCGGGGTGCTGCCCGCCAGGCTGTCGCTATGGCGACCAGAGCTGGCGGCTGTGGAGTTGCAACAGCCTCAGGCGCCCGGGAGGCAAATGGGCCCTGCGATCACCACCAAAATAGGCCTTAGCAATAGACTGCACCTTCAAAGCTCAACCAGGAATGTGTGAAGTGAGAAAAGCCTCTGAACATGTGCAAAGCATCATTTCTTAATTTACGACTCACACAGACGTATGGAATGGGTGGTGCACAGCTTCCAGACAAAGGGCGCACTGTTTAAATTGTCCAGCCCCATAAAGTAGAGGAGCTGAAAGGAAAATTACTACTGGAATCCAGAGAATGATTTCCTGAACGACTACTGGAAAGCATTAAATGAAAGGGGAATGGTGTTATAAGGATATCTTTAGAGACTACTGTTGACCAAATCAAATCCATTCCCTCAAACGTTTACCGTACACAATCCCCCCCCCCCGAATATTTCCTGGATTGTGAGTTTCCATTTATAATCAATTACTGATGCTATAATCCCAATTTTAAAACATGAGTTGGAAAGGTAGCCCCATCTTTACGGTTCTAGTATTCTGCAACTGTGCAGTAACATTCAGCTGTGTAGGATTCAGCAACTCTGTCCAGGTTTTCGTGGGAATAGAACTTGCTCATTTCAATGAGATGCTTACCCTAAACCAATGCATGTTTTCTAGGAATGACGTCTCACTGAGTTCGACAGAATTCACTCTCAGTCCAGCGCTCTGTCCCAGCTGGGCTAAGTGTGTCTAGATTGTAGTTTTGAGAACACATGCAGAAGGTCTCATCCCCCCCCCCCCCCATCAATTAATCCAGAATAGTTCCCGGCATGGTTCCACGCAACAATGAAGTATCCAACTAAGTGGGGGAAATTCAGTACTTTTTTCTCACTACAAAGAATTTACTATAATCTTGTGATTCTTTAAACTAGTAATTGTATTTCCTGAGACTACACGAAGAACATTCTAACAGTGCAATCCTCAAGAGAATTGCATAATTCTAAACCCACTGAAATCAATGGATTTTAGGATTACGCAGTAAATCCACTGAAGGTCTGTAAGGGTATACAAGGATTTACAATAACAGATCTCTCCTGCGTTATAAACTGGTTTACAAAGGTGCCTCTATACGATTAGATTATTAAACCGCAACCCCTACGCATGCCTTCTTCGGAACATGATCGCCAAAATCAGTAGCACTTACTTCTGAGTAAGCCTGCATGCACTCAAACTACATCGGTTCTCACTTCAGGTAACTACCAAGAGTCAGGATACAGAGTCCCACGATGGGGCTGTCTAGATGAAACGCCTCAAGGGCCCCTTCTGACCCTCGCGTATCCCTTTCCATCCACTATTGTACAGATTTAATATACTTAAAACTGTGCATATTCTTTTACTCGGAAAGGAGATTAGGAGGGATTTCAGAGATTTGCCCTCCAGACAAGCACCGTTCGAAGAGTCAGGCATATACCGCGGACGACCCCTTCGGTATAGCGGAAGAAAACTGCGCTGCGCGCGCATGCGGACGGGAGGCGGAGGGAGAGGAAGCCGAGCTTTGGGGCATGCGCTATGCTTATTAAAGGGGGGAGGGGTGGGGAATGAAGGCCCCGGTTACGGCGGCTGAGAGAGAGAGGAGCAGGCAGCGGGGGAGGGGGAATGAGGAGAGGCGCGTGAGTGAGCCGCCGAGG